AACCTGCTCACTGCTACTGTTGTTCTGGGTTCAGCCTAGTCTCTATGCAGCCAGGCTGGCATGGCTCTGGAGCTCCCGTTGTCCCCAGGACAGCAGGGTCAAAGGTAGCAGCAGATGGCGGAAGGGAGAAGGTGGAAAAGAAAAGGGATAGGCCTCTAAGGATGGAGGAGAAGAGAAGGGAAGAATTCTTACCTTCTTCGGGGACTTAAAGTCCCCAGCCGCTGCTCCTGCCACATGGTCAGAAAAGGGAGGTTCAGCCATGCTACTCCACCCACTCTGGATCTCTCCCGGGTTACAAGAGCTCTTAACTGTGGCAAAGGGCAAATGTAAACCTTAGACATAAAAGGGCATTTCTATAAAGCCTGTATGGATGACAGCGGAGGATCTGACTGGAGGGCTATGTGGCTGGGCTGGCCCCTTTAAGCCTTGGAGCTGGTGAATCAGCTATATTACTTGCCTGTTGAACCCCCACCTTCATAAGCCAAAGTGAGAACTGGAACTACTGCTACTGACATGTTTGTAATACCTGAATCCCTGCCTTAGAACAACAGCTATAACCAAATTTCAAATACTTCAAAACTTCAGTTGGTTACTACAAGGGAGACAACTGTTCTGCCCTCAGGCACAACTGCGCAGGTATAGTTCAATTTATTTATTTTTGCACCAGAAACATCGGAGGCTGGCCACAGCTGACCAGACATCCAATGGGGTAGGACCAGAACTCAGGCAGAGAAAATAATTTTTTTTTTTTTTTTTTTTTTTAAACAGGCTTGGCTACTGTACCTAGCTTACATGCTCAGGGCAAAACTGGTAAGATTTGGGGTAGGGAAGGAGTTTTCCCCAAAGCTGATTGGCAAGGATCAAAGGCACTGATTCACAATCAGAGTGCTGCATCACCCTGAGGTGCTATGAGATCCTTTTAAGTGTGCAATGCAATATTAGTACTGTTAGGTGTGCAAACACCTATACATGATTCGCATGATTGACAGATATTTCAAATAGGAATCCATAGTGTCAAAACAATTCTGAACTGCTATAATCTTTCTGAGTTCCTTGCAACAGAAGAATTGCTCTATTTTTCTGTAGTCAAATAACAAGTGAAAGCTAAAAGCTAGTATTTTCAGAAGGGTACTTCGAGTCTAATGAGGGGGCCCTTGAGTCTAAAAAGTTTGAGAACCACTGACTGGTTTTCTTTTTTTTAGCTTTCCTCTGAAGCACTGAGCATAGATTTCCCCTTAGGATTATTTGTGCATATTTTTATTAAATCCTTGCCACTGCATATTTTAACAAGGAGTTCAGATGCAGGTGCTGCTTCGGACACTTCTGTTCTTTGCCTGCAGTTGTCTCTAGAGGACAAAAATTCTCTTTTTCTAGCCCCCAGTTTTGGCTCAGTTTATATATAACTGGGAATGTTTAATGGCCTGGGATATATATGTCAGATCTGAGGTCTTAGGATCCCTTCTGGCCTTAATTTACACATAACCTTAGGATCACAGGAAAGTAGGGCTGGAAGGGACCTCACAAGGTCATCTAGTTCAGCCTTCTACTCAAGGCAGGATCATCTCTGACTAAACCATCTCATCCAAGTGTTTGTCCAACCTGCTTTTGAAAGTTTCCAAGCACGGTGATTCCACAGCTGCTCTAGGTAGCCCGCACCAATGCTGTTCCTGGCCATTCTCGTAGTCAGAAAGTTCCTCCTAATCTCCAGCCTAAATTCCCCCTGCTGAAGCTTGAGGCTGTTGCTCCTAGTCCTGTCCTCAAAAGCCGCAGAAAACACCCCCATCTCCATCTTCTCTATAATCACCCTTCAGGTATTTGAAGACTGTTATCAAATCCCCCTCAAGTCTTCTCTTTTCCAAGCTCAATAACCCTTGTTCTTTAAGCCTTTCCTCCTAAGTCTTGCCTGCCAGGCCCGTTATCATTTTTGTTGCTCTGCACGGGATTCTTTCCAAACAGTCCACATCTTTCTTGAAGTCTGGGGCCCAAAACTGGACACTGTACTCCAGGTAAGGCCTCATACAGGTCTTCTATCCTCATTCAGGTGTTATCCAGGTCTTCAGGCTCTTTGCTTACCTCTGGGCTTTTATCTTCACCTTCCAGTGAATCTAGTTTAAAGCCCTCCTCACTAGGTTAGCAATCTGTTCCAGTAATAGCTGCTTAAAATCCATATTCCAATATTCTTTTTAACAAAAGAATGAGCAATGATAAAGTGTAACAAAGACACTGAGGGGCACCATAAATAAATAATATGTTGAACATGCCAGACAATTAGTAATCTTGTTTCTTCAATATCCCTGTGAAAGAAGAGGACACCTTTTTTTAGGTCTGAGTCACTCTTTTCCTTACACCCTGGTTTGCACGTGAAATATGTTACTTGCTTTTGGAATGCTGTACCACAGTTCTAACAATCATTTTCCTACTGAAGAAACCTGGGATTTTTTTAAAAATTAGGCAGCATAAAAATATGAAGTGCCTCTTAGGTTATCCTTTAAACCAGATATATCCAAATTCTACCACAGGCCCACAGCCATACACTGCCCAGGCCATGTGCCCTCTCTTCCCCCACAAGATGTTCATGTCACACTGTGCTAGTGCCTCCATGCAGCACCACAGGGCCCCACACCAGCTTTACGTGGGGTCGTCCAGCCACAGGTTTCCTTGGCATCACAGTCATGCTGTACTGCCCAACTCCCAGAGGCATGGGCAAGCAGCAGAACCTGGAGGAGGAAGCAGCAACTCAGAGACTCCCAGTAGCTGGAGAGTGTTTTGGGGAATTGGCGCCAACATAAGGAACCCAAGGACTGCAGGATAATACTCTGGAAGCCACCTGTGGCCTGTGGACCGTCAGTCAATAGCCCTGCTTTAAACTATGCCCTGTAATTAAAAAAAAAAAAATCTTTTTATAGCTTTTCTGTTTTCCTGTTGTGGTCTACATGGCTCTCTTCAGCAAGGGAGAGTAGATGAACCTGAAAGCAACTGTGCTAAAGGCACTTGCTAAGCACCTAATACTTACACATAACACTGGCCACTCTCAGAAGCAAAGCAAGGTGTCTCCAATTCAGAGATGCTCCAGAGAGTCAGAAGCTCCAGTCTCCTGCTTCTCCATTCCAGCCAGACTCTTCCATATAAATCCCTAGTTACCTTCCCTTTTTCAGGTGGTTTTTGGGTTGCAAACTTCTACGTGCCTTCCAAAATCAACTAGGACCAACAAGTTCTACCAACTCTGCCTCATCCAGCCATCTATGTTGGAAATTTTAAGAGCCAACACAGATTGGGGCTATACAAACATAGATACCAATGATGGGCCTCACACTGGGGCCATTCCACATGGCTGCCACCCAGTCTATACTCCCTGCCTCAACCCAGAGTATGCCATGATGCTAAAGCAGAATGACCATCTGACAACCTAGATGTGGCAGATCACTTGATCGAATCACTGGAAGCAGCTTGCCAAGCTAGTTGGGAGGAAATGACTGAGAAGCTGGACTTCACCCATTTCAACCGGAAGTGTTGGAATCTACTTCACCATCTTGGAGTGGCTCATCAGCTATCAACAGTGAGTCACCCTCCCACAGTGCCCAACCAAGTAGCCAGCCACCCAAGTTGCAAGAGCAACACTGGAAAAGGCAAGTAAAAAGCTGCCTCCAAAAAAAAAACGGAGAACTTTCCACTGAACACACCAGACCAGAACTTTCACAGTTCTTCAACTTAGCAAGGTTTTGGACAGTACAAAGTCTGGCACCAGCCCAGGCTATGACAATATCTCCCTGAGTTCCTGAAGCATCTTGGCCCACGTGCTCATTCTTGGTTGGTTCAGTTCTTTATAAGGGTCACATGTGAGCGAAAGCTGCTGAAGATCTGAACTAGAGTTTTAAACAGTCCACCTTATTGTTGTTTAGATTAAATCCTTATTTATTTTAACCCTATTCAAAGTTAGCTCTTTAGTAAAAACTAAGTTGAACCACAGTGTGAGATAGCAACTGCCACATAAACCTGAAATTGCAGGAATACTGACATGGATTAAAGGTCTCTCCCAGACCTTGAAGTGAAACCAGACCAAAGGACTGGAAAGAGGGAAAGCAGATCAACGAATATGAACAGCACTGAACTCCAGGAAGATACATATTCAGGTAGTGTCCTGAACTTGAATTTGTGACTTGGATCTGGGTCTTTAATTCAGCAAATCTAGTCATAAAAGTCTTTAGAGTTTTGTTGAGTCAGTATCAAATATATTACTAAACTGCTAAAATTGCACAAGTACTTCATTAGATTTTTTGTGCCTTTTCAGAGAAATATCAGCAAGACACCAGGTTGCTGGACTGTGGCCAAAAGGATTTTTAGTTTTATCTGTTGTATGGGAGGATTTTGAAGACTTTTCACATGTTGCAGCCTCCCACCCCTCTCTGAACTTTTAGATATGTTTATGAAGCATAGCTTATCACTTTTCACATCATATCTGTTTAAAAAAAGCTTTAAAATTGCTTATGAAAGTTCACATTCTACACCTGGATTAGGGAAAAAAAGAAATGGACTCTGGGGCTTATGCACTGCCAGTTATAAGATGAGGGCCTAAGTCACTATCAGCAAGTACGTCAACTGGAAGAAAGAATACCCCTTTTACTATGTACTTTGCCTTAACATGGCCCCACATCAAGCTGACCCTGAAGAGTATTGTGTAGGGTCAAAGAGACGATTAGGTCATACAAGTTTGAAACATTAAGTTACTAACACCTTTCCACTTTGAAAAATAGGTACGGAAACAAGAAAACCATTTTGCTTCTGTTAAATTTCATGTGCACACAGATACAATTCTTCTGCTTTGGTAAACAGAGTGTTAAACCTACAAACATAAGGAAGGCATCACTGATACATGCCTTCATTGTTTCAGAGAGAGAGAGAGAGAGAGAGAGAGAGAGAGAGAGAGAGAGAGAGAGAGCATTTTCAAGTCTATTAAAACTCAAATGAGCTCAGACAGCTACACAAAGCATCAGAAGTCTTACCAGGCACTTGAGGACGACTTAATTTTTTCTCCAAGTCTCTATCTTCATTTCTGGATTCAGGAGATTTAATGCCATTTTCCTGTTTTTCCTTGTTTGAATTTGTTATATTTTGCAAAATAGGCTTCTTAGGCAATGGAGGTTTTGTGTTAAGCTGTTCAGGAGATTTTGCTTTAGGCGTTTGATTGGCATTTAAAGAGACACTGATATTTACATCAGCTGTTGTTTTTATCTGTGCTTTTTCACCTTTTAAAAATGAAGTCAACCCTTCTTTGTCCACATTAAACTCTGCACTGTATCTTTTAATCCCTTTTGCTTCTGATGAAGAGCTGTCTCCATATTTCAAGGATAGTGAGGTGGACCTAAATTTTACTTGAAAAGGATTCTTATCTTCACAGCTTGACCGATGCTGGGATACCAGAGAAGAATCAGCTGGCATAGAAATCTCATCAGCCACCTGAGAAACACAGCCAGACACCATTTTATCCATAGCATGGCCAGTGATCTCACAGTCAGACTCTGGCAACAATGCCCGCATTTTATTTCTACTTTTTCCCTCTTGCAGATCTGATCCCATCTGCACTTCCTCTTTTGACTTCTCATTTTGTAAGAGGTTTGGTTTGGGCAGAGATAATCTGGAGTTTAATAAACTTTCATACTCTGAACTCTCTTTCAAGTGAAAGCTGCTAGTCCTTGGCCTTTCCCATGCTGATGACACTGAAAATTTTCTCAAAGCAATGGGTCCAGTGGCTGCTTTCTCCCCCTTTCTCTCCAAAATTGTCTCTCTTTGTATTAGTGACTGATTATTTTCTTCATTAGATATGGCTGGCTCCTGAATGGACTTCTTTTCCAGAGACCAGGCAGCACAAGCCCCTGCCTGTGATAAAGCAGGCTGTGAGGCATGCTGAGAAGGACCTTCGGGTAGCTGCTTGCAGGACCCAGAGAATACAGCAGATTCTCTCTTTTCCTCCATATTACAGAACGTTTCCACAGATATCTTATCCTTCTGCCCTTTGTCTTTTGACCCTTCCAAACAAGAAGAAATATCCTGATGGGTTGGAGCATCCCCTTCAGACAGCATATTATTAATTAGAGGCACATTTGGAAGCTGTTTATTTTCTTGATTCATAATATCATTTGACACTTCATAGACATTCCCCATGGAAATATTCAGTGTTTCTGAGCATTTTCTTTCCCTTTGCATTTCTCTATTCTGTATCCCACTCCATGTAATTGAATTTTCTTTAGGTTCTAAGGGAGATGGATAATCTGATGCAAGGTATGTTAATTCCTGTGCAGTTTGGCATAACTCAGGATTATTCTCAGGTAATAAGACTTTTTGTCTGATGGCAGACTCAGCAGTGAATTGCAGTGAGGAAGGCCTTTCATCTGTCTGTCCTAAGCAATAGGAAAAGTCTGCAGGTATTTCAGCTCTTTGCAAGGAAGGCATGTCACATGTTACAGCTGTGCTGCCTGACAGATCCTGATGACTGGTATTGAGGATTTCATCTGTCAAGTCTGTCAGTATCTCTCTTCCATCATGCTCCTCCTCTTCTGGAGTACAGCTCAAGTCATTCAGAGATTCAGACTGGGTCTGTTACAAAGAACAAACATTCAATACAGCTTTATTATTCCTGTACATCTTCACATATTTTTTATTGCCTAGTACATAGCAGATTATGCACTATGATAGCTGTTGTCCAGACAGCAAGACAATGCCTGCCCTAAATATATAGCTAGTTCATGTTTTACACATTTTGGTATTATATGCTGACTTTACATTACTAGATACTGGAATGCTGCACTATATATGAAATAATTTATCAAGCACTCATTTAAGATGTAATTTCCTATCCCTGTATCTTTTAGATGCCTTAGCCAAATCCACCAAAGCAATGGCTGGCAGCACTGTATATACCAAAGCAAAGAAGTAATAATTTGGATGTACCAAAGCAAAGCAGCAATGTTGTGTTGCTCTAGTGGCAGAAAAACAGCACTGGAACTAGAAAAATATGGCCCTTTAAATTCTGCAGCTCCATCCTTTCATTAAAAATAAAACAAACCCTTCTTGGGAAAAGGAGAGCCTGAAGACTTAGGGATAGTCTATATGTACGTATTTGATTTATGTGTGTGTATATATACACACATACATTTATAGGTGCATGTACAGATACACTCCATAGGCAAGAACAGCAGAAAAAGGTATTAAATCAGTTGGGCTATGACAGTTTGCACAAATTGAGGTTCTACGGCCTTCCCATATTTGTCTTATCTTTAATCAAATTGTGATAACATTTTATTGACCCTCATACTTATATCTCATTTCCCTTTTTCCTTCAAGAGTTAAAAATGTCATAAGAGCTTACAAAACTTTTATTTACCTGAGAGTTCTTTTTGATAAAACTTCGGGTAAGACTTTATAAGTTGGTTCTTAGAAGTGGCTAAGCATACAGGATTATTGCAAAGCATATTATTAAACTGCCGATTATGCATTTTGGTACCTGTGTTAGACGACAGTGATTCAGCATGCTATTGGGTAAATATGTGCTTTAAATGTGGGTACTCATTTTAGGAATGCCAAGTATACTTTCTAAAGCAACTTAAGTCTCATTCAGTTCCCCTTTTGCAAATCATAAAGCTGCAAGGCAATTCGGAATCATGTCCATTACAAGCTCAGGAATGTAAAAGCAGGAGATGCTGGTTGTAGGTCAGAAGTGAATTACCCAAACAAAGTTGCACAAGAAAAATACTACTGTTGATATGTATTAGGAAGTGCAAAAACTTTCCAAAGAAAATCTTGATAGCTCCAACACCTTGGTCATTTAAATAAGGAATGGACAAAGCTATGGTAAATATACTTTAGTGATAATCTGGCGCTGGCAAAAGACTTGATTATGTGGTGTTTTCCCTCCCCGCTTTTCATATATCTTTCATACAACTTGCAATACCATTACGCTTAGCTAAAGACTATGTGTTTTCAAGTATAGAAAGTGCTCAGTACTTTGTGAAAAAAAATAATGAATCCTCTTGATATTGGCATTTGGGAAAATCAACAGTTACGTCTCTAAATAAGCCAACTTGACATTTTAAAAGCAATGCTTAAAATAGAGAGAAATTAGTACATAAAGTAAATTTTTACAAATTCTTAAGATGAAGAGTCAAGTTTGTTTTCTTTTTTATGAATATTATTCTAGACTCTCTCTCTCAAGTTTTCCAGAATGGTTGATTAAAAATAAGGCCCCGCAATTACGAAACTTATTTATGTTGGGGAATAGCATCCTTTATATACAAAGGTAGCTTCACTGTTCAGCTATATTTCTACTTGGTTTTCAACCTCTGCTGGTGAAACCACACAAAGGGCACATAGTCTACTAGTTATTCAGGGAAACTGGAAAGATATTCCTAGTGCACAATACCTGGCCCAGCCATTGAAGCACCTTACACAACCTCTTATTTTTGTGCTTTTCTAAAGTGAAAAATAATCTAATGGTGAATTTTTTGGAGGCAGAAGGGGGAATCCTCTTTCAAGAATCAGATTTTAAAGATTGACTTTCACTCCAATAAAAATTGTTACCAATTATATACTTGATTAAAAGTAAATAGTAAGAAATTCAAGTTGAGCCTGTCACAGAGGTTAAAAAATGCTCAAATAGTATTACATGGTAAATTTAAAAACAAATGTAACCTTAAATCTGTACACTGAGAGAATTAACAAGTAATCCCTTCTCACAGTGTTCTGCCTTTATTACTCTTCAGGGCTCTATTCCAGATGAGCACACAACCCTCATTAAACATCTGTGATCAGAAAGCAATAAAATATCCACTCACAGCTCTGGCTCTACTTCATAAATACATAAAGAAGTTGAAATAAGAAGGGCAAGTCAGGAAGATATAATTTTAGAGCCAATGCTGAAGTCTATTTTTTTCTTTATAATTACCGAAGAAAATCTTCGCATTCTACTAGATCTCTGGTTCCGTGGTTTTATTAAAAGCTTGTGTTTAGCAGCAGAGTTATCCAAGCAAGTGGAGTACTTGGGCGGAGTGTCAAAATCAGCTGCAGGTGAAATGCTGCTGTCAGATGTTCGGGGAGATCTAGTTTTAGCACTCACATGCTTAGGGAATAGTTGACCTTCTGTTGAGCGAGGTCTAGAAGAAGGACCTGATGTGACCTAAAGAATCCCAAAGCAGAGCATCAAACAAAGACCAAGAAATGAAAACAGGAATTTTACAAAGAGAAAAGCGGGAAAAATCCCCACATTTATTGGCATTTTGGGCTTTTTAACTTCTATTTCAGTTGCAGTGCAGTTATTAGATTTGCACATGAAGTACTGTGTTAGCAAGTTTGCAAGAAGTGAGGGTTTGGGTTTTTTTGAGTGATATCTCTTATTGGACCAACAGTATAGTTGGGAGAGATTGCACTTTATGCTCAAAAGCTTGCCTAAAATCTCTAACTACACAGTTGGTCCAATAAATGAATTGCCAAAAAATCATTTACTTTTTGCCTATTTCTGAGGCCATCACAGCTGCAACAACAATCCAACCATAGCAACAGGAGCAGATCCAGAGGGGATGTAGTGGCATGACCATACCCTCTTTTTTCACGGAGCAGCAGCCTGGGACAGAGCACATCTCCTCCCCTCCTATTCCCTTCTCCCTTGCTTGCTGCCCTGCTCTCCTGGAGGTGAAGGGAGGTCCTGTCCTGCTCCATCCATGCTGCATAGGGGCTGGGCTCAGCCCAGGACACCAGTGGCAGCAGTGGATGGGCAGGTTTCACTTCCCTTCCTGCTCCCCCTGGGTGTTCCCCACCAGCATGGGAGCAAGCACAGAGAAGGGGAACCTGCCTGCCCACCACCACTGCTGCTGCTGTCCCAGGCTGACCCCAGCCCTGGGGCAGCCTGGCTGGAACAAGATAGGAGCTCCCCTTACTCCTAGAACAACATGGACAACCGGGATGCCAACAGTGGCAGGCAGGGGAAAGGGGAATGGGAGAGGAGGGGACAGAGAAAGGGATGTGCCTCTAAGCACATGGGGGAAGTGGAATGTTTACCTCCTTCAGGAGGTAACCATTCCTTGCCTTAGTCCCCAGTTACTACTCCCAGGGCATGATCTGCCTGCCCTGCAGGGAGGAAGGGAGTGAAGAGGCTGGAAGCACGGGGTGCAGCTACCCCTGCAGCTCTGGTCACTGCTCCTGCTCCCCCCTTTATAAAATCCTGGATCCGCTTCTGTGTAGCGGCACTGTACTTTTAATAGCAGCAACACTGCAATACAAAGTGTATAGTAAAAGCATGTGTTACATTTGAATAGTAAAACTATAAGGTATAAAAAATGTCCATTTCAGAAGAATGATTCTGAGAACATTCAAACCCAACCCCAGTCCCCCCAGGTCAGCTTCACATGGAACCAGTCCCTTTCGAATCCTACAGTCCCTTATTTTAAAGTAACTTTATTCTATTTGCAAACTTTGTTTTTCCCCCTGACTAAGCAGAGTATTTCATTGGAATATTTGAACAAATGTCAAGTAATCCCCTGGAACTTGCAATCTGTAAAATTATCAGCCATAACACTCAGGATTTTCTTTTGTCCTTTTTGTCTTTTTTTTTTTTTTTTTTTTTTTTTTTTTTTTTTAACGCTACTTGGTACTTTTTGCAATGGAAGTTCAACTTTGCAGCCTTCCTTATCCAATATAATTAAAAGAAAATTGATGCAGAAGTCCTACGGCCAATGCATAATCCTTACTTTCCAGTCAGTTATGGAAAAAAAAAATCAAAGATCATCTTAAAAATGAACCTTTAAAAGGGATTTTTCTCTTTTCTATAATACCATTTTAAAAATAAGGCAAAATGAAAGCAGAAATAAGTTTTAAATTATGACAGATACTTTGAGACTAATGGTTCACCACAGTCCTTCAGAAGCCTGAAACTGAAATACAGCTCCATACTGCAGCCTTCCCCTTCACTGCAGTTTGTGACTTTAGTGGAAGCTGTACACAGAATCGCCACTTTCAGTAATTCTTTATCCATAAAAAAAACAACAACTCACCCATGCCAATTAATGGTCATTTGCATTAATTGGAACTGAATGTTTCTTTATATTTGCAATGTGTCACTTAAACATGACTAATGCATAGTGCAGTTATGTATCATGGTATACATTAGTACCTAACAATGAATACATTGGTGTTTCAGCTCCTTCAGAAAAGTCACGGCACATGTTCTCCTAAACAACCTACATTGTCTGCTGTCTGTTCTCCCTGGTCATTTATCCTCAGGTACTTAATACAACCAAAGGAATGATCTTTAATACTAGTTCATATATTAGGAAAGTAAGAACAAAATTTATTACTTCACTTAAAACTCAGCACATACTGAATTCTAGTCATTTTCCTGAAAAGGTATGAGGCCACATTATGACTGACTTTGTTTAAGTATATTAGAAGGGAAGAATACTGACGACATATTTGTCCTAGCAGCACATGGCTGCAGAGGACAGGCATTGCTCAGCTGGCTGCATTAGGCAGAACAAAGTAGTAGCCAATCAGAAGGTACCAGCCCCAGAGCTTCCGGGTGATGACTTAAGTGGAAGGTAGACACCTAAGTCACAAAGATCAATCCAAACTGGCCCTGCTTGGTGGGGACAAATGTAAATTCATTGTAAATAAATTCTGGGAAGTGAGGATAATGTTGAATCCCCTTTGAAGTGAGGAGAGCCTAAAATGCAAGCTTCCCACTCAGGTCAAGGTACTTTTGCAGTTAAAACAATAGACTAGGTGATGCTCAGAAGACCTCAGTTTTGTACCAGATTTCGTTCATGACCCTGAGCATCTCAGTAAGCCACTCTCTGTTGTAGTTTCCCCATTTCTAAAACACAGATACTACCACCAACCTCAGATGTTACATTTGTGTGCCTGCTTAGAGGTTAAATTCACTTGTATCTGTAAGACAGTGTGAAAGCTGGAGCTGGGAGACACTAGAAAAATTCATTCAGTATTATTATTTACATTAATTAATTAAATAAGAATTCCTTGGCATCAGAAAATTCTATTGAAAGTTATGTTAGCAAGTCGGGCTTTAAAAACCCCAAAAGAAGTGGTAATAACATACTTAGGAAGTTGTTCTTGCTGCAATATAGACAGACAGCTGAGAATAATAGTTATGCCTTATATTTTTTTTAAAAACTATTTTGTTTGTTCCTTAACATATTTCGCAGAAGTTACCTGTTCTTCTTCTTCACTGCCTGTTCCAGCTAAACTCAAAGAGCTAAGATGCTTGTGAGAGTCAGAGAACTGTGGGATGGAATGAGGAAGAGATTCAGTAAAAGATAACAAATGAGATGGATGTTTTAGCAGGTACACAGGTACTGTAGCTCCCATTATCAGTATAATTAATACCTCTGTCCAGTTCTAAGAATTAGTAAAGGGTACTGCAAACTTAAGTATAGGGCATGAAGGAAAAGATTGAAGCTTAGTTAAATATTGTGCGCCAACTTTTAAATGTTTTAAAAGTAGTTAAAATTTCTTACAAAAGGTTTCTCTTTCCATACTGGATAATAAAGCATTTAGTGTGACAGCTCTCATTAACAGATTCAGGAGAGACTACAGATTTTCCCACCATCTTTTATTTTTGGGTTGGTTTTGCAGTTTCCCCTCTACCCCTCATCCATAGCAACACTAGCTGGTTACAAAAACCTTATAAAAATAACCAGAACAAAAGTAAGTCAAAAAAGGAAGAGGCACCCAAACATTACTTTCAGAACTATTATAGCCGGTAAGCTTACCATACCAGCTTTTATGAATTGAGGTGTTTGCAGAAACCTTTCCTACTCTTTAGACATGTCACAATTAGCAGTATTTCAAAGAGTGACATATCCTTTGATTTACACTCTCTCTGCACTCGTCCCCCTGAGGCATGTCTTATCCTGGCTTTGATGTGCCATTTATATTTTAACTGACAGAGTACAACTAACAATTTATAGAAAAATAGCACTTCAGAAAGGCAAGACTTTCTGAATTGCCCCACAAGTATCAATGAGGAGGTAGACTGGCAAAGGCAGCAAACCAAATATTTTATTCTCCCCTTTTATACAAACAAAAGCTCAAGTGGGCAATTGTTCCCTGAATAGGGACTTTTGTCAATATCACAGTATATTCACCCTTGTTGTGTTGGAACCAAGTACTTCATGTATCAAAGACATTTCTGGAGGACTTCTGGGTAATCCATCATCTTCTGAACTGGCTCCAGCATCATCCACCCGCTTCACAAGAATTCCCGATGGAGGAGGAGGACCCAGTTTCAAATTATGCTGGAGTTTCAACTACAATACAATATGAAAGCACATTTTTGTGAGTTTCCTCTCCTTATTACGTTATTCTGTCCAGTCCAATGAATTTATATTTTAAACTCTACATACCAAGATGTAAAGTTAATGATCCAGAGCACCAAACTGTACATTTTAAAACTGTAATTTAAATTCAACCAAGGTGTGGGTCTGTTCTTCAAGTAACATATTATATGGTAATGTAATTTCCATGTTACTGTTACTTAGCAGAAATCAAGTGTTCCACTACAGATACTGTTAAACACAGACACGCACATGTGCACATGCAGTTGGAAAATAAATGGAAACACTAGTATTTTAAAAGTTTGTCTTATGTTACCTGTAAAGTTCTAATCCGATCTGAAATGTTTTCCTGAGAAAACACTCGTACTGGCCTACATGGTTCTTGCGCAGCCTCAGGAATGAAAATGCTGTCATGTGACAAAGCTCTGCTTCCCATGACACCTTTGTGGTTCCTGGGATAATACAATAAAACTGTGAAGATGCATCTGCTTATTTTTTTAACCTCTTTACTAAATATTTAAGTCTTAGATTAACTAAAAGAGATGTTTCAATGGAGAGGTTAACATTTCATGTTTTGCCTAAATTCTGAACTGCTCACTGAATAAAATGACATCATTCAGATTAATCTACATAGTACCTATTAAAAAAAAAAAGTCAGCAGTGATATATGTGATGCAGATAAGATAGACTATCTTAACCCTACAATAAAGTTGTATACATTTTGAAAAAAAATACACTTTGTATAGGTGTTTTTAAACATTTTACAGGACTTTGATAAGTATGTTCCTGCCATACTCCAGCAGGTCCTGTCAAAGTTGCTCATTTGGGAGAGTGTTAGACTGAAGATGTGAAGGTCCCTGGATTGATTCCAGGCTTTGGCAAGCCTCCTAACTTCTTTTATGGGACTGGGTAGCTCAGGTGGTAGAGCATCAGACTTAACTTGAGGATTGAAGGTTCAAGTTCCTGTTCAGGTGGCAGCTGTGACGGGAGGATGAAGTCTGGTGAGGCCTATTTTGAATCCTGCCATTAGCAGAGAGAGGGCTGGACTAGATGATCTTACTGAGGTCCCTTTCAGCTCTACTTTACTATGTTCCAATTTCCCTTGAAATTTTCAAGAGCAGGTTGGAGAGATCCTTGACTACAATGATTTAGTCAGGGATCATACTGCCTTGAGCCTAGATTACCTTGTGACATCCCTTCGAGCCCTTCTTTCTTATGAAGCTATGATCCATACAATTCTTAAACAAAACAACTGGAAAAAGAGTTGGCTTTATTAAATTATGTATGATTAGATTAATTTCTAAAAGCCCCTATTCACCTCTTCTCTAACAAAAATCCATAAGGTTTTTCCCTTAGGAATCTCCCATACATGTATGCATATTACTGATTTCCATTTATACTCCTGAATCCAGATGAGGTTCTCTAGCTAGACTCCATCCACCAGGTTGCACTAATAATTTTCACTAATTTTCCTCTTGCTACTACACCATGGTTTGTCCCAGCAGGAGGGAAGGGAGAGGAATGCTTGTCAACATAACTCTAGTAGAGGTGGAGGATGGATTGCTCCTACAAATGCATGGTGTGATTCCAATTTCCCATGAACCCTCTGAGATCTGCCAGGTTAGGGCAGATACTTGTATGTGGACAGGACAGAGCATCCTCTATTGTGGGAGGATATTATGGCACTGATTCTGCAACTCAATCTGTGCGAGTGGATGCTGTATACATTTTGGCTAGGGACAGAAGTTAGACATAAACCAGTTTACATGATCAAAAACTAGTTTTAACCTGTAACAGAACAAAAGTTCAGTGCACATAAACCAATTTCAAATGGCCAAAACTGATTTAAGATAAACCTGGTTGAATGTAGTATCAGACTTAACTGATTTGGGTCAAACTAGTTTATGGAACTTCTGTCCCAGACTCCTTCCTAGTTTAAGTTAAACCAGAGTCCCCCAGCATCCCAGCAGGCTTTTCAGCCCTGGGCTGGGCTGTCTGCTCCAGACAGCAGGGCTGGTCACACCCCTCTTCTCTGTAGCCCAAGCAATGGCAGGAGTGTGACCAGACACCAGCCCAGCATGGCTCCCTGAGGCAAAGGGGGCAGGGAGGGGGTTTATTTCCCCTTCCCTCCCCACTTTGCCTGAGGGGTTATTCCCCACTCCTTTCCCTCTCCCTCGAGGACCCCAACTGGGGTCTGCCTGGCCAGGGCAGAGCAGCCCCTGTGAGGTTCCCGCCCCACTTGCTGCTCCAGTGGCAGAGGCGTGGCCAGATGCCTACCCAGCATGGCCCCCGAGGGGAAAGGAGAAGGAAGGGGTTTATTCCCACCTCTGTCCTCTCTCCCACCGGAAGGGCTGCAGCCAGGGTCTGCCAGCCCTGGTCGCCGCTTCTGCCACTCAGTTCCAGACACGCAGACCCCAGCTGGGGCCCCTGGGAGGAGAGGGCAGGGAGGGGGGATACCAGTTGGCATCTGGCCAAGCCCCACCCCGCAGTTGCTGGAGCAGTGAGGGGGGAGGGACCCTGATGGACAGCATCCCCTGTCATGGTGTCCTGGGGACTGCAAGCCTCTTCCCGAGACTGTGCTGTGGGCAGGAGTGAGGTGGGCAGAGCTGCCCCAACCTGTGTGGGGAGAGCGGCAGCAGTGCTAAGGGGGCTTGGAGAGCTATGGCCAACCCAAAATCTGACTTAGCCCCTGTAGCCACCCCTCCTAGCCCCACCACTGCTGCTTGCCCTGTGCAGGCTGCGGCAGAGCTGCCCACCCCACTCCTGCCCACAGCGCAGTCCCCACCGCTGAAAAGAAGCTTGTGCTCTCCAGGACACCATGACAGGGGCTGTCAGGATCCTTTTCACCTCACTGCTCCAGTGACATGGGCAGGGGCATGGCCAGACACTGGCCTGGCATGGCCCCCTTAGGTGAAGGGGCAGAGACGGGGTTTATTAACGCCCCCTCCCCTCAAGACCCCTGCCTAGCTGGGGCAGAGCAGCCCCTGTCAGGGTCCCTCCCCCCTCGCTGCTCCAGTGGCAGGGGCATGGCCAGACGCCTGCCCGGCATGGCTCCCTGAGGCAAAGGGGACAGGGAGGCATTTACTCCCCCTACCTCCCCTCTTCCCCCTGGGGGACCCCCACTGGGGTCTGCCTGGCCAGGGGTGAGCAGTGGAGGTGGCAGCTAGGGCTGACAGACCCTGGCTGCAGTCCCTTGGTGGGAGAGGGGATGGAGGGGGAAATAAACCTGCTCCATGCCCCCTTCACCTTACAGGGCCATGCCAGGTGGATGTCTGGCCACATCCCCGCCACTGGAGCAGCAAGGGGGAGGAAGGACCCTGACAGGGGCTGCTCCACACTGGCCAGGCAAACCCTGGCTAGGGTCCTGAGGGGAGAGGGAAGGGAGGGTTGAAATAAACCCCCTCCCTGCCCCCTTCGCTTTAGGGGGCCATGCCAGGCCATCGTCTGGCTGAGGATTGGGGTCTGGTCATGCTTTTTCCCTCCCCACAAAAGCCTGGCAAGGGCTGCTTCCTCCCTCCTGTTCCAGGCACACCCCGGCTGGGGTCCCTGAAGGCTGGGGAGTGGGGTTTAAACCTCTCCTCAATCATACTCAGGCCTGCCAGGGCCTGGCCATGCCTCCTCCCTCAGCTCAGCTTTCCTCTGGACTGGCCACTGCAGGAGGGAAAAGAGGACTCAGTCTAGCACCCCCTGACTTCTGGCTTGAGCAACTGCAGGCTTGTGGCAGCATTTCCAGAATCAAAAGTGAATGTCTATTCACTTGCTTGCCAGTTCAATCTACACAGGTTAGACTAAGCTGCAAAGATTTAATCAATTCAGACTTGGGCTTTTTGAATGTCTGTACTTAGCTATGGAGGTCTTCTGACTACATGCATATCCAGCTGTAGTATTCAGTGCCTGCACATATGATATCATTAGTTTTAATGGAGCATTTGGACACATTTTTTTCAGTCCTTATTTGTGGCCTTGTAAAGGAGCCAAGAGAGTTCTTAATGCACCAACTCTTGCATTACATTTTACTTCGAGTTTATGAAGGGAATAGCAAGTAACAATCTCTGTGAAGTAATGCCTTATTTCTTCATGGGAACTGTGGATCAGTGCTGTAGATTCATTCAGCTGATTTTTAATGCCTCGGTTATGCTAATTTCCTTGTATGACTGCACTCCAAAATATGGGCAATTGCACACAGGCCTCTGATAGTGTAATGGAGCAAATCTGAAATGAATACATATGGATTCTGGGCGCCGCACTTCAGGAGAGATGTGGACAACATGGAGAGGGTCCAGAGGAGGGCCACCCACATGATCAGGGGGCAGCATGGCGGGCCCTACGAAGAGAGGCTAAGGGACCTGAACCTGTTCAGCCTCCACAAGAGAAGGCTGAGGGGGGATCTAGTGGCCGTTTACAAACTAGTCAGAGGGGACCAGTGGGCACTGGGGGAGTCCCTGTTCCCCTGAGCACTCCCAGGCGCGACAAGAAATAACGGTCACAAGTTGGCGGAGGGTAGATTTAGATTAGCTATCAGGAGGCGCTACTTCATTGTCAGGGCAGCTAGGATCTGGAACCAACTTTCAAGAGAAGTGGTGCTGGCTCCTACCCTGGGGGTCTTTAAGAGGAGGCTGGATGAACACCTTGCTGGGGTCGTTTGACCCCAGTACTCAGGGGGTCGGACTTGATGATCTGCTCAGGTCCCTTCCGACCCTACCCACTATGAAACTATGGATTTCCTTCTCCCGGCTCCCCTACTTTCTTTTTAAACAAGCACAGCTAAATGAAGAGAGAAATGAAATACTCAAGTGAAACACTGGGACTCTCCCAGCTATCAGTTTTTGAAGAGATTATATCATCAAGGGAAAAAAAATGAACAAAAGTATGTTTTCCTGAGCTGAGATAATGTTGAGGGGACAAAAGGGAAAACAATCATAGAGCATGAGTGAATTTTTCCTTACACCGGCTACTAAAAGTACGTTTGATAAATCAATAGGTGGAAAAAAACTGATCAGTATTCCTGATGCAGAAGGAAGGCAAGCCTGCTGTTTGGGTCTAATTCACTGGAGAGATTATAAGGACAGTTTATCTTAGTAAAAATGGGATTTCTGTAATGCAGCCAAGGTCAGAGAGATCTATAGCAATTTGCTAAGTAAGTGCCAGTCAGAAGTGTTACAGTTGCTTAAGGCAGACAAGGTTCCTTGGGTGAACTTGATATCTTTTATTAGACCAACCCAAATGGTTGGAGAATAGTTATTAAGCAAGCTTTCAGGTTCAAAAACCCTTCGTCAGGCTAAGGAAGTTTCAGCAGTTGGTGTGTGCTCTTCCTGGATGGAATGAAAAGTAAAGAAGCCAGGGGCTCGGCTCGGCTGGGCTGGGGAGTCAGTTGCCAGGCAGATTATAATGTATCAAAAATCCAATGTCTATGTTTAGTCCCTGATCTCTAGTATCCAGCAGGCTGATGAAA